CACATGTCGGAATAGATCCCAGCGCACAGCTTCGGCATTTAGGGAACTTTAGGGTTTAGAAAGTTTGTAAAAGTGCTTCGGTGTGTACGTCTTGATCACGCAGTAGAGCAGACACCTGTAGTATACAGACCCAAAAGGTAGCATTTTCCACAACGAGGAAGCACTCCTATGAGGACCTCTTCAGACAAACTCTTGGTTTTCGGACGCCAAAGACCGACTTAGCCCGATCTTGTCATGTATATTTCTCCTTTCATAGCCTCATAATGCTTCTCACATAGCTGCCGAGAAGCCTTTCATCACGCTAAGAGCCCCATGAAGCTTTCCATGAACGTATTCTTTGTGAGGGGTTCCGGTTGCCTCATCCTTACACCTTACCTCTGGACCATTATAATCTAATTGCCGTAATATATTACTATCATTATGTTAGCTTGGTGAAAGAGACCTGTGGCTGGAGTGAACAGGGAACAGCACCGACCTGGACATTGCTGCACTCCAGTTAGCGAGTGCCGCGGCTCGTTTTACAGCTTTGGGGGGTGGAGGGGTGAAACTCAAATCCTAGTGACTAATGGTATGCGCTGTTACGAGGTTTGGGGTTCTGGGCATTGTTCGGGGCATAAGTGGAATTCTAACTAGTAACAAGTAAGTCTGGACCCTTCAAACTCTAAACCCAGCACTCAACATGGCACCAGACTTGGGAATTGCAGATCAGGGTGGAAGAGTTTAAGTTCGGGGGTTGAGGCTCGGCAAACGTACCCACTGGAATATTTAATATTCGAGGCCTGGGGGTTTCTAGTATGAGGGAGGGTATTGCATTGGCAGGCCAGCTCTAAACTCCACAAGCCAAGGGTCCAAGTGCCCAATGCTCAATGCTACAACCGCGATTACCGAATCAGGTCCTCGCTTCGTACTGATTGCAAGCTTGGCCCTTACACCGTAAGATGGGGTCTAGATCAAATCCTGCTGGCCAAGCCGGATTTACCGACGGCTCTGCAAAATCCTGATACACTCCACAATGATGCCGTAGAGGCCTGAACAGCTACCAATCTTATTCTTCAGGTGGTTGAGGTTCTACAGTATGAGGCCGGTTGAAAGTATTGCTGCTACGGGTTCTAAGAGATTCAACTCGCATAAACGGCTTACAGTCGGGATTGTCGTGTTGAGATGATTTGGTCTGGGGCTTTGGAATGTATCCACTGTTGTCTGCGTTAGCTTTTCCCCTGTTGCTCTTATTCACTGGTACGCCAAGAACGATGCGCCACGTCGCTCCCGCTCGGCCACTGGGTGGCAGGTCGTGTAGATGCCTTAGAAGGCTTGCAAACGTTGTTGGAAACTTTTTCGGAGTTATAGTATCTTGGGGCCTAAATTGGGGCCAACTTGCCACTTGCACAACTCTTGATCTACTATTGCACATGCCATACTCTTCAGGGCGCCTAGTGACAGCAGAATCCGTCAAAGCCAGCACAGGAGGAACTACCCGTAAATCAGGGGCAATGCAATCGCGCGGTCCAGTCTGGCAGTCACGCGGTTGCGTCTTGCCCTTTTAGGACAGAAGGTGGAAGCCCTCCTGATTTAGGATCATGCAAGGGCTCATGGAGGGGGGGTTCCCTGCAAAACGGCCAGCTAAGAGGTCTCACTTGGAAGCTTTTCAGAAGTGCAACAGACATGATGCAATTAGACTGCGGGTTGGGCGTACGTTGTACAATCTTTCGGTATGGCTTCTTGGGAGAGGATGACCACGTATGCAAGTTCTTAGGGCAACAAGAGCCTCATCATGGTGGGCCGACCGCAGGATAAAGGCAGAATTCCCGGCCCTCGAGCACCCAGGACCCCGGAGTGCAGGGCTTCGGAAAAGACATCTCAAGGGTTAGTTTTATCATCAAGTTGGGTAATGCAAGATGTCTTTGGGATATTTGGAGTTTGGTGGGGCCGACTCGGCTCGGTAGTTGGAGGCATGCATATAAGGGACGGGGAAATCCTCAGGTACCCCAACCTCTTTGACCCTTTCAATAGTCTGTTGAATCGAACTTCATCAAGCAGATCACTGCGTATCCACACGAAGATAAACTCGGGTGGAGCTACCCGCCGCACGTTCTTTATTCGCGTGTGCTCTCATGAACAGCTGCCCTATGTTGCGTCCCTTGGCGCTGTCCTCTACTTCATAACGGAGCGCACTCCGCCTTTCATGTTCGAGATTGGGCAGGAGCTTCTGCTGGCGGACAATATCCGACACGCCTACTATGAAACCCGTTCTGCCCCAAGCTGGGCAAGAGAGCTGATCAAAAGTCTGTTGCAGCCACGGGCGCAGCTTCGGCGCACAGCCACCGACGTGCTGGTTGTTTTAAGCAAGGTCGTCGTGAGCCCGTTCGCCACTTCACACCTGCTACACGATGGCTCGAGCTCAAAAGTGTGTTGCGTAGCACCTTCGCGAAGTAGCTCTCAAGAGCATCCACTTTCATGCATGCAGCAGGAGTTTAGAGATTCGGGGTTCGAGGGGTTCAAGGTTTGGGGTTGAGCGGCCTTCTATGACTCAGCGTGATCATGACTGCCTTTGGGAAATTATTTAAGGGTCCCGTAGCTCTAAAAGGACAAATATGCGGTTTAGGACTACAGGGCTTAGGGTCTAGTGTTCAGGGTTTAGGATCTAATATTATAGGGGAAATTTTTATTTTCCATATTGGCTTTTCTGGGGCCAGGAAAATTGATCAACTACATGTACGCTTGACACCTACTGTTTGGATACCAGGCTTTGATGCGGTTCCCCCCCAGCACCTGACGGGTCCTGAGAAAGACTACATTGGCTTAAAATGTCCAAAAATTAAATCGCTGTCGAAAGACCGCTGCGACGGCTGAGCTTGAAACATTCAGTGGAGCCCATCTGTCTTGAGTGTTGAATACATTAGCATAGATATTGGAAATATAGCTAACTCAATTCTAGTGTCAACAGGAGATTGGCAACGACATGGAGCCCTTCCAGGTGGGATTGGGAGGGATTGTCGCGACATTCTAAGCGTACCGGTTGACGGCGCTGTTGGGTGCACTCCAGGTCCCATGAGAGTTTGCCTTGGGTGGGTTTGTCTGAGAACTTGGTAAGCGGCTAGGCATTTTTTGCTTGCGACTCTTCCTGAACTTAGTGTGGATTTGGCTGATGTGTTTCTACCTGATGAAATCTGGGCCCGAGTATTCTTTTTGTGGTCACCCAGTGCCTATCCACACGCGTGCCCACGCGTGCCAGCTAACTCCAACAACGAAAGGGGTGTAGCCAGGAATCTTCTTGCCTCGACCCTAATCCGTCAGTGACACCCCAAACGTCACTCTGTCAGCCGCCGAATCCTCAACTCCGGAAACCATGCAGGTATCGACAAGTGATATCCTTGAAGGCAATCTTGAATTGAGAAACATAAATTGAATAGCATTTTATTTCGGGGTACTGTGGTTCCCAGTATAGTGTGAAGTTATATCCTCATCTTGGGTATAGCATTTTACATGAAGAATATTACCTCAATGGACGTAACCACTGACAAAATGCTACTCAATTTCAGTGAACTAACGCTGTCCCCAAAACGCTTCTCTTTCTTGGGCCAGTCATCCATCCCAAATCTTGTTTGGGCGCATGCTATTTCTTTATCCTAAATCGAATATAATTCGATATATCCCTGTAACGCCTACAAGACACAAATAGCCTGGACTGACAGTTGAGTAGTATTTTATTTTGGGGATACTATGGTACCTAATGTAAAGTAATCATAATGGGTGTAGCCACCACACTCTCAGTTCATGTTTTTTTCTCACCTAAGCCCCATGTCGCGCCATAACTGCACCATAGCAAGCCTGTGACTTGGGCTGCCGCGCATTCGGAGCAGCTGCATCACCGTCTCCACTGCCGGCCTGGATCGTGAGATCATGGTATTCTTGGACGTTTTGCAGAGTCTTGCCGACGGCCTGGTGGCAGTTCATTTTGTCTGGCACGCTTTGGCAAAGCACCGAGAGCAACAACGGAAACTTTTGATTGACGAGTTCATGTTCACACGCGACGAGAAAGTTCTGGTCCAGCAAGATTTGCGATGCAGGGCCCGAAAGCGACCTGCTGAGGGACCACTGGAAGAGATGCCAGCGCGGCTTTCAACAAAACCCCGCGTTCGTCATCCCATTTTGTGCTGGGGTGTGGATGTCCAGCACCGGGACTTGGTAATCGGATTGCAGGTGGGCTTGGGCATCAGCGGAGGCGTGTTTGCTGGAGTATTCAGCCGCCGTCGTGTAGCAATCAAAACGCTGCGTGCGCCATATGATGATAGACGAAAGTTTCAGCGCGTCATCTCTGAAATCCAGGCCGCCAGATTGATGAACTGTGCTTTCGTTGCAACACTGTTACATGTAATTGTGGTCCCTGGTCCGACTTCTTGCTTCGAAGCCACGTGCCTTTATGCATTGGCTGACAGCGACTTGTTCAATTACATATTGGATCGGGATCTAGTTCCGGAGACACGTGCGCTGGAGTTGTGTCGTGATGCAGCCAAGGGCTTGCAGTATTGCCACTCGCTGGGTTATGCTCACTGCGACATCAAGCCCGAAAACTACTTGGTGACATTCGGCGCTTTGCAGTTGACGGATTTTGGCAGCTGCAGGTGCTCTACAGATGTGTTGTTCGAGTACTCTACGTTGGCTTACTCCGCTCCAGAACTGTTAGCGCCACCAGTTGATGGTGCACTTCAGTGTTTGGACTGCTGGTCCCTTGGCGCTGTCCTCTACTTC